TGGAGAGTGGTTCTCTTTTAGCTTTGAGACTTCAAGGCATCCTGTGCCTTTGAGGAGGGTGCAGGGCCAGAAAGACTACCTGAAAGAAAAATTGCCTGTAGTGCACCATCCAACCTATCTCCAGCAGTCAGATCCACTGTCACTATTTTTTTTATTTTTTTCTGCCTTGATATCGTGGGAACCAGTGCATCTGACTAAAGGCCATGAATAAGGGTACTACTTATGAAGTTGGCTCTGCTTGGCCAAGGAAACAAAGAACTCAGGTAGCCTTAGGTGAGAGGAGCCACCCCCCTCAAGTGCTGTCCTGGAAAATGATAAGGAAAAAAAATGTTATGCATAGAGAAAGTGCCTAGTCAGAAGATCTACTGTCCTGTATATACAGTATTTTAACCATCATAAAATTTACCGCGACAGTTGTTCCAGCCACAATATCCATATGCATGAAAAAAATAACCGCTTTATGCTGAGCTGATATTACCATACAATTTGAACAGAATCTTGCTTATGCATAACTACATTGGTAGCCCGTAGAATTGACAATTTGAGCACTTTGCTGATTTCAAAATGTCTGTTCACAACCAGGAGGGATAAACAGACCCCACCAATGCCTGTGGAGAATGCACCACATAATGGATGCACAGAGGTGATTGAGATATTCCATGAATATAATTTACCGTATATACTCGAGTATAAGCCGTCCCGAATATAAGCCGAGGTACCTACTTTTACCAAAAAAAACTGGGAAAAAGTATTGACCCGAATATAAGCCGAGGGTGGGAAATGAGGCAGCTACTGGTAGATAGATACCAATAAAATTACATTAATATTTATTTAAAAGAAAAATAACCTAGCTCTGTAAGTGGAAAAGGGGGTACAGGGCTACATATCATGTACTACGGATCATTTAACCCATTCATATTAGCAGAGGATAATTGTAAATCTATTGTTCAGTGCATTCTATATGTAGTATATAGTACATGTACATATAGAGTGCCTGCAACAATACATTTACAATGATCCTCTGCTAACATGAATGGGTTAAATGATCCATAGTACAGGGCTACATACAGATCATTTAATACATTCATGTTAGTATAATTGTAAATGTATTGTCTGCACTGTATTAGAAGTATATACTCTATATATACCGCCGCCCTCACTCACTGTGTCCGTGTGCCGGTGATCGATCATCACATCACGGAGAGAGCAGGGACGAGTCAGCGGCGCGCTGGTCCAGTGGGAGGAGCTCCAGGTGGGGTCCTAATTTAGCTGGCTCAGAGGTGCCTGCCCGCTAAATTACAACCCCACCTGGAGCTCCTCTCGCCTGATCAGCGCGCCGCTGACTCATCCCTGCTCCCCTGCCTGACTGGCCGCTGCGGGGGGTTTTTTCTTCTTCTTACTTACCTCGCTGAGCGTCGCTGCTGCTCCGGTGTGCGGCGCTCCGAGCGGGGTCATCTGGCAGTCTCCGGCCACCTTAATTAGGACCCGGAGACTGCCAGATGACCCCGCTCGGAGCGCCGCACACCGGAGCAGCAGTGACGCGACGCTCGGCGAGGTAAGTAAGAAGACGCGCTGGCGCTGACTCGAGTATAAGCCGAGGGGGGCACTTTTCACCCAAAAAAATGGGCTGAAAATCTCGGCTTATACTCGAGTATATACGGTAACAAACAACCTCAAAATCCATGGTTTAACTTTCTGTGCATTATTGTACATATATGTTTATTACACTTGTCTGCACCAAGCTGTACATCCCTGTTTTACCTCAGTTTAGTAAGAATACCATGCTTATGTCGTGAAAGTTAAAAGGAGAACTATGAGGTGATTTTCACTCAACCTCATAGTTCGAGCCGACGTGGGACAATGAAACTGTCACACGTTGGCTCAATAGATCGGGAAGTGAGTGAACACATACCGTCGCTCGCTCACGTCTCGATCCTGTCCCTGCAGAAAGCCGTGACTGTCACTCATGGCTCCCTGCAAGAATTCCCTCCCCGCTCCGATCCTCACTGGAGGAACCAATGGAGAGGGGGCGGGTACAGCTGGCTCTGCCTCTAGATAGGCAGAGCCAGCTGATAATCACGCAGCTAGGTGGATCTCGACAGCAATGTCGGGATCCGTCCCGGCTGCGGCGATCTCAGTATACCGCAAGCTGTAGTTCCGAGCCTGACGAAGGAGACCCAGTGTGGCTCCAACAGCACTTGCCAATGAGAGACAGCATCTGTCAATAAATGAGCATCTAATTGCTGTTATTATCGTTGTTGGAGTACTGGTGACGTCTTTCTTTTTGTCTACGTGTGGTGGCACCATCCGCAGTCATTTCGGGCAAACGTCTTTTTTTGGGGAGTCCCGGTAAGGAGTGCGGCAAGTTCTTTTTTCTTATAGTGAGTTTTGGGTCACGGGAGGACGCAAGTTTATGTCCACCCGTGACCCTGAGGAGAACTATGGGGAAAAACACTTACCCCCGTAGTTCTCCTTTAAGATCTTTGATACTGTTCATGTGCAAGGATAAATTCACTTTTTAAAACTGTACAAAAAAACAAAACTTTTTTTCCCCTCTAAATTAACAGCTCAGGCAGCACCTATCTCACAACTGAAACTATCGTGTGCTCACTCATAGTTGAAGCCAACAGTTGGGAGAATGTAATAATGCATGTTCTTCAATATCTTTCCCACAGAAGAGTTGATTCTGGTTTGCATCAGACCTTCATTATCTGACCAATCTACAGAAATTCCTCTGTTACAGTCACACAGAACAGGCTTCTAAGTGGTCTACACAGACAATATGAGAAATTACATTAATAAATCAGTACAAACACATTCATCTCATACATTTCTATACAAAAACATATAGGCTAGCGTACCTTTGATCTTTTGCTTGGTGTGTAAGCCTTTGAATTACTAAAAATGAGTTTCACATCCTTGTACAAATCCATAGGAGACTCGTAAGTCCCAGCCTCAAGTTTTTCTCTTACTGTCCCAAAATCCATAGGTGTATCTATAATGTCTCTATAATCCTATAAAATAAACACATTGTTATATAAAACGCCCCAACATCTACATTAGAACATAAAGGTGTCAAATTTTTATCAAAGAAAAACATTAAATAAAATCAAATGGAGAATCCTGTCTAAAACCAATTCACTTTTAAAAGAAAGATAGAGAAGGAAAGGCAATAAACTATAAGCCCTCGTTCACACCTGAACGTTTTGTAGCGCGTTCTACGCTCGATGAACGCTCTACAAAACGCTAAAACATCTAAATCCCATTGTATTCAATGGGTCTGGTGCACACCTTGGCGTATTTCAGCCCGTCCCTAACACGCTACAAAACGGTCCACGCCTGAAAAGGTACATGTACTACTTTGGGCCGTTTTTGTTGCGCGTTTCCATTGGGATACAGCCAAGTAGCCCTTGGAAACGCGCGTTTGTCGCGCAATTTTTTTACCACGAATCGCGGTAAAAAAAACGCGTGACAGACACGCATATGCAATACGCCTAGGTGTGAACCAGGGCTTAAATATACACATTCTAAAAAACAATGGAACTTTTAAAATACACGGTTACCAAGTTTTTTTTTTGTTAGCTTTCAGTAAAAGAAAAGGTAGGAATATACAAAAAATAAATAAATATGCATTTGAGCTCGTAAAATTACATGAAGGCATAAGGCTCCAGCCTAAAATTCATATACTTACCGAGTATTCATTGAGATCAACTGGGTGCCGAAAAGGCTCAGAGTCTTCACATTGAAACATTAGATTTAACAGCTCCTGACATTGCATCTTCCAAGACTGTAGATCATATGACTGGGCTCGTGTACGCAACTTTCTCCTTGGCTGGTATTGCTGTAGTTAGAAAGCGATACTTGCAATTATTATTGTATATATAGCCATCCCAAGTCACCAAATAGGAAAATGTAATTGACTCTATATGACCATCCTAACTGCATTGTCTTGACCTATGACTATGTAATAAAGTAAGCCTTGCATGAGAATAACATGGAGGCTGCATTTTGTCAACTCTCCTGAAAATGTTAGCAGCCTGGTTGTCAAGCTGACACTTTTGTTTCATTAAGTCACTGAATCAAAACAAGTATGCAAATAAGGAATTTGGACTTCCTAATTTCCCAAACTGCATACTTTTCCTGAATCGCAGACTACAAAAATGTGGAGATCCGTGGGTCAGCGGCTGCTAGACATCTAGAATTTTCTGGAGGAAGTCAAGTCTGGCAGCCCTCATATTTCTGCTATAACAAAAGCACACAACGCATAATCACATGAAACAAAATATCTTTAATCCATTTTAATTCCATCAGACTACCAACCACAGTTCCACAAATACCGCCACCCAAGTCCATAAAGCCCTTGCATTTATGTACATTGTATTTGGAAGCTGCCTTATTTCACATGTTGCAAGGGGAAAGCTTACATCCTGCTGTTAGGGCCAGTTCACGCCACAAGCAGTGCGTTCCAGAGCGGTCAGCCTCTGGAACGCACTGTATTGCAACCCTGCCGGCTCCCTGCATTCAATGGCACCGCAGTCACGTCCTCCACCCGCAGTGTGATCGTTCGCATCTGAACACGTGGCACATCAGTGCCTGTGTTCCGGTCCAGTGCAATCTGCTAAAATAGTGCTTGCAGTATTTTTGCAGATCGCACTGGACCAGAATTCAGACACTAGTGTGCCACGCGTTCCGATGTGGGCGATCGCACTGCGGGCATGGCCATTGACTTTAATGCACCGCCACGCCCCCTCCCGCCCCTGTGTGGTGTGAAACGGCCCTTATATTGTCCTCTGTCCTCACATGTCTGAAAATACTCAAATACTGGGCAGAGTGGGAGAGTGACAATGTCCACAAATGTCTAGCAAACCAGGAAAACCTAGCAGTGGACTATCATAATACTTTGGCATTTTCTCAGTACCACAGAGAACTGAAATAGGTGGCTCCAGGCTCTCCACAACATAACATGGGCATGTTTGTAAACATTCACATTACATGCTGAATGGGCAGCTGAAAGCACTGCTGCACATAAGCTAAATGGAATAAACAAGTAACTTTGGATACAATGTATGCAAGTTTACAGCTTTGGTCTAGATAGGATATAAAAATAAAGACTGAATAAAAACAACACAGGGTAGAGACACATCTTGCCCATTTTACTTTCTCTCCCACTGAGAATATCAACACCCTTTACCTTTCTCTTTCTAGTGGATGTCCCAGGTAGATCTGCATCTTTCTCTTCTTCCTTTAAAGGTATAAAGATGTATGGTAAACAAGTCTTTCAGAACACAGACATATACTAATAAAACTAGAAGTAACACAATACGTCTTAGGGCTCATTTTAAAACTAAAATGTATCACATTGTTTTCCCATCACTGGTTTGAGATGAGCAGATGTCTGCGGAAAGAGGATGAGCAGGGATATGGCTGTCCTTGCTCACACTGGGACCCACAGGTGTCACCTGCACAACTTGCTCAATAACAGCAAGTGGCACTCACTCTTCATTAAACTGTTTATTTCATGTTTCTATAGTTAAAGACAATTTCTCACTATGAAATGTGTGTTGCTGGTTGTATCTCATTACTGGGTAAACAGCTTTCCTTCTACTTAGAAGTACAAATGGCATTCTTTTCTGAACTTCACTCTTTATGTGCATAGATATATGTATTAGTTCAATTTCTTTTATGTAGTGTATCCTAAGTCAACGGACAACGGCTGGCACCAAGGCAACTGTATTTCTGCATACATCTATCAATTATGGCAACAGTTTGTTATGGTTTTTGTCTCTCTCTATTGTACACGCAGCTGATCTTCTACTGCGTGAATTCTAATGCAGAGTGTGAAAAAAGCATGGAAGGCACATTTATTCTTTTGTTGCACGATTGCTGGAGCATAACACATTAACTCCCCACTTTCAGTCCCCTTAAAGGAGAACTATGAGGTGAGTGTTTTTCACTCATCCTCATAGTTCTAGCCGACCTGTGACAGTCACGGGTCGGCTCAGTAGATCGAGGAGTGAACACATACCGGCGTTCGCTCACTTCTCGATCCTGTCACGGCTCTCTGCTGTGACAGGGGAGTGGCTGGATTCCCCCCTCCGATCCTCCAGCGCTGACTGGCGGAACGGACGGGGCGTGTACAGCTGGCTCTGCCTCTAGATAGGCAGAGCCAGCTGTCACTCACGCAGCTGGGCGGATCCAGACATATTTGTCGGGATCCGCTTCAGCTGCGGCGTCTAAGTATACCGCGAGCTGTAGCTCGCGGTATACTGAGCTTAGGGTGACGGGAGGACGCTAGTTTGTGTCCTCTCGTTACCCGAAGGAGAACTATAGGGAAAAGCCCTGACCCCATAGTTTTCCTTTAAGCTGGCCATACACCAATACATTTTCCTTAGAAAAAAAAAAACATGTATTTTTGCAAAGTACATTCACTTCTGTAAGTTAATGGGAGTCAAATCGACGATCACTTTTGACCATAGTGAAAATCATCAAAAGAGCAGGTTGGAAATGTTTTCTTCTAATAAACTTCCGTGAATGTGGCTTTTGTTTGGGAAATTGAAGGTTAAAATCAAATGAGTTTGAACGACACGTGTCAAATCATTGATGGCATTAATGAATGTTCTGACAAAATAATTTATATGAACGATGGTAAGAAAATGTACGAGTGTATGGCCAGCTCTAACTCGTACAGCCTCCTTATAGAGAGTGTAGAATATCTGTAAAATGTTTTCTTTTTTTAAATTGAGGGTGAAAAAGGTTAATTTGCAAAACACTACTCAGTATCTTATACAAAATTTGTCTGCTACCCTACCTTGACATGTACAGCTATATTAAACTTTGACAGGACATTTAGGACTTTTGTTTGTATTCCGAGTGTACACAGCACAAGCATTATGTCAGATGTATGTACTCCAGAGACACACCTGTTCTTTTTATAATACCATTTCACCTTTCTAAACATGCTGTTTAAATAGCATTTTGGCAGTTATAAAGCACAATCTACACAGGTAGTCTTTAGCTGATAGATTTTTCCGGTATCGAGTACCGATATTTGTTTTTTTCTGTACTCGTCGATACCGAGTAACGGTGCCGTATGCCCCAATTATCAGGAAATCGTGTGGCGGATCACGACTTGTTGCCCGGCTTCCTCATAGCCTGTGAAGCCGGTGTTCTAGCGAAAAAACAGCGGCTTCACTTGCTGAGGCTGCGTGGCTTCCTGACCAATAAGGAAGCTGGGACGCAAGTCATGAGGTGCCGCCCAGCTTCCTGACTGGTCAGGAATCCAGTCTGCCTAGCAACAAGTGAAGCCGGCTTCCAAACCAATCAGGAAGGTAGGTGGCACGTCATGGCCCGCCTCTCGGCTTCCGGATTGGCTAGCAAGCCGGCTTCTCTTGTTGCTGTGCAGCGTGGCTTCCTGACCAATCAGAAAACCGGGACAAGAGTCACAAAAATAAAATTAAAAAGGTACAGCGTTATTTACCTCTTCAGAGTCTGACAATAGCTTCTTCTTCATGATGTTGTACTGAGGAATGATATCATAGCAACTCTGGTCCCTGAATGCAAATAGGATAAGTTCAGTGCAAGCGGTAAAGTTCAAGGACAAATTGCAGAGTACCAACCAATAGCTAAATACGAAGAACATGAGCTATATATGAATGATCATAGCAGATATTACTTTAGCAGCCTTCCTTTAAACTGGATCATTACAGACAGACAATGTATTTAATCACGTTACAGAATCCACCACATCCACCAACTTGCTGTTGGCAGCACGAGCTGAATTTTAGCTACAGGACTATTTAACTTACTTTATTAAAATGGAAACAAAAACAATTATTTTATTTACATGTTTTAAAATGGATATTTTAGATATTTATCACTATATAGTTTCCTCATCTCTGTGTTCTTTGTGTATTTCTGCACGTTTCCAGCTCTGTGCTGTAATCCAGTGTGAAACCTTGCCTCATGTACAGGAGCTTCCTGTAAGAAAGACAAGTCACTGCTGCTCTCTCTCCTTGTTCAGGATGAATCTCTCCTCCTGTAGTTCTCCGCAGGCAGCCTGTAGGGAGTGGACCTGCTGGTTACATCCCAAAGCTCTGCTCTCCATACAGACTATATGCAGCACAGTGATGATGTCACTGCTACTTATACAAGATAATAGCTGGATTTGTAAAGGCATTTTGTGCACACAAAATGGATTTATATCCTTTGTGGCTATTAAGGAAAGTATTTAAAATTAATGTTTTTATGCCCGAAGTTCTGCTCTTATACGGAATGTTTCCATCATAATTGCAGAGCAGTGTCTGTTCACTTTATAACTCTCCCAAAAGGCTGGTGTATACAGTTATTTATCTCCTTTTCTCTTCTATACCAGTCAGTATGACTGTAAAAAGCAACAACGCAATTTAGAAAAAAATGCCCTCCAATTCAATTAGCTGCGCGTGTATTTTATATGGAACTAAACAGCACAAGGTAATTACTGGCTTTTCAGGTATCGAATGACTAGGTGGTGTGAAATGCGTAAACATGCCACAACCTTTTTAATGGATCAATAATTACTGGAGCTTTTATCAAAGTGCTGGCTATTTTACACTGAATGTGTCTCTTTAAGCACACACACCAGTCATGTAAAAAAGTGCACACCATGGTAATTGTTTTATAATCAGGTGTTCCAGATAAGGTGCCAACAATTAGAATCTTCTTAAAAGGTGCCCATACACCTTACGATTATCGGACTAAACTTTTCGTCCGATGATCGAACCGTCGTACGACGGCCCCATCCTGCCCCGATTATCGCAAGGTTCAATCAGCGGTAGTTAGAAAAAAAAACACCTGGACGACTTGCGGTAATTGACCGCAATTATTTTCGTTTGCACATGCGCAGTGTCAATCGGACGGAAACGCCACCAACCATGCGAACATCGTACGATCGACCAAAGTTTTCAAACATGCTTGACCGTCAAAAGTTGTACGATTGTACAGTACTATCGATCGGCACTACATTCACACGTTACTATTGTCGTACGAAAAGTCGATCACATACGATTATTGTATGATAATCTTAAGGTGTATGGGCACCTTTAGGCACTACACAGGTAGAACATGTCCTATTCAAACCTCAGATATTCAGGATCCAGTGTTCTTTGCTAATGTTGTGTGGTGTCATCATGGTAAGATCGAAAAAAGCTCAGAACTGCAGCCAATACATTTTTTTTCATTTATAAAATGGTGACAAATTACGTAACAGTTTACATAGCACCTACTTATGAAGAAGAAAAAAACCCGCTTACAGTCCTAGCCACAGACAATACAGGTCTACACAAACTAGAGGCAACTGTTGAACATATAAGCTCCAGAATGTATCCTTGATGGGAAATTGAAAATAGTGATGCAGGATTACAGTACTCAACACTCTTTATATTCACAAAGTGGAAGATGGTCAATTCAATAATCACTGACTACAAGGGCCCTCCCTGAACTTTGCTATAATTATAAAGTGCTGTGTTTTCACTGGACGGAGTGACATTTGCCGCACATCTAAATTTCTCATTTCTAAAATGGTACATCCAGGTCTCCGTAACATCTGCCATATTTATAAAACAATAACTGTTACAGTTGACAGCCCTATCCATTTTTAATATTTGCTGTTTACAGATGGGAATAAAAAAAAAAAATCACTGTATATTCAGTTATTTGCCTTTGATTGCTAGGAGACCCGTCTTCCTTGCCATCACCATATATTCCACTCTGTGCAAATGAAACTTTCAGTCTCCAACGTTGAAATGCATTCGGCCTACCCACCCTCCGCGTAATCCCTGAGTAAAGGTTTTGACTGGACCATTAATGGAGGTGAATCTAAGCACCAAAGGGTGCTCCGCTTTGGTGCTTAACCACTATGCTGGTAATATATATAATTTTACAGGACTAAAACATGGATGACAATGAAAACACTTACTTTATAAAAGCCAATAAAATATCTGTGACAAACTTGGCTGATTTTACGATTGGACTCTCAGGTTCATTAAATGTTCGAGTGTTATGCTCTATATAGCGCACTTCCCACATTAGCGAAGACAGACGTCTGGAAATAAAATAATTCTTATTAAAATTTCATAAGCCAAGTGTTTTTACAACCATGCAAGAAAGAATGATGGCACACTAGGAGCCACAAATATATGCAAGATAGCATTCTGTGATTTTGTCGCATTCTTATGCGCTCACAGGCAGTTTTCCCATACACATGCTAGGCACTGGTAATCTTATCAAGGCAGTGGAAAGGTAATTAATAACAAAAAAGTGTTATGGTTGTTACCAGACATAAGGTTATGTTGGGGGGTCAAGTTGAGACGACTCTGATTTCAAGCAACCGAATAACATACAAGTGCAATACTGTCAATGCCACATGCAAATAATGTAATAATTACCTGTAGAACCTGTTTTCCAGTCGCTGTTTGATTGTACTGAGGTCGGTTGGATATGCCACAACCATGCTGTACATTGGGTAAGCTTGGAGGTCTACAGGAGCCACAAAAGCAGAAGCAATATCTAAAGATGTAAAAAAAAACAAATCCACAAAGAAACATTAAATAGATCTTCCAAAGGCTAGAGGTAATAAAATGAACATGCATTTACATCTTTACAAATATTAGTCTGGAAGTATCCTATTCTATTCTCCTGTATAGAAAGGTGCTCTTCAATGAAGTCAAAATATCTCAATGCATTTTTTTATGTACAAACATTTACCTAAAGTCATCAGCTGGTTGATGCCACCAATGATTCTCTCGCATTCTTCTTCTCTTCTTCTACACCCCCACTCTCCATCCAGCGTCCTGTAGAGCAACGACCTGACCTCAATTTCTGTCAATGTTACACTTGTGCCCAGCTCCTCAGGAAACACAGCTAACATTCAAAAAACAGTAGAAAATCATTTAATCTGGGCATTCAACCAAATCACGTAATATAGTACTAAATAGCCACAAAAACTGATGCAGCTTAAACCAAAAGTGTAATTCCTGGTCTAAAATGGGTGCGATTATATTTATAAAATTTAAAGTAAAGTTCCACTTTTGCAGTCAAAACTGAAAGAAAAAAAAAACACTATGCTTTTGTTATGTGTTCCTATTCACACAGCATACGTAAAAATAATTTAAAAAAAAAAATATTTCCTACCTTTCAGATATCTCCATTTAGCAGGTCTTTGTAAGCTTATCTCTTAATTTCTAGCTTAAAGTCTTAAGCTAGGTACACATGGGGCAAATTTTGGCCAATTCAGCAGGAATCGTTCGAAATCTGCTCCTTTGGAGACCCTATTTTATGTTGAAAAATCTTTGGCCAAACAGTGCTACAGTTGCTTGATGCAGGAAAGCCCCAAAAGCACTCACAGCTCTAGCAGAGTGCACCTTAAAAGGAAAGGGTAAAAACTGACCCTTGAGAACATTGGCTTGGATGATGTCTAGTAGGGCTAATACTAGGGCTAGCACCTCGGTGACTACTCGAAGGGCAGGACCACAAACTGGTAGTATTTGGGCCCCACAGCAAAATGTAGAAATGTGCTAGGAAAATGGGGACATGATTGTAAGAATTCTCGATTGTCCACAGAAACCATAATGCCTTTCCAGTGAAGGGAGCCAATGACAGATCTGGTAGACGCCATGCAAACGTTTTGGATTACAGTTAAGACATTTAGAGCTTGGGGAATGGGGGCAAATGCTCCTCTAGTCTTGGGAATGGTAAACAGATTGGAGAAAAACCCCTGGAACCATTCTGACACAGGACCTGGGGCAAAGACACCTTGATCCAGAACACTTCAGAAGGCTTGTAGAGCCAAAGGAAATCTCACCGCTCCAATTCCTTCGCCACCATCAGGACTCCCCAGGTGCCGGTCTAATAGGTGCGTCTCCACCTTGGAATGCAGCAGTATACGAACAGACCGCACTATCCAGAGAATTCCAATACTGCAGACTTTACTGAAATTCACAGCAAATCCAGTATATCAGTGAATAAAAGTGTATAAAGCAACAAATGCCAGCACTGCACACCCCCAACCAACTACAACCTCTCACATGTTTCACCCGCAGGCTTATTCATAGAGGTGAAGTCTTGACAGAGATCTGATAATCTGTGCAGTGACACAGGAATATTGGAGGTGAGAAAACAGAGGAGGAAAAGGAGGCATAAAACTCCAGTTTGTAGCACTTGAGCACAACCTTCTGCACCCAACTATCAGAGAAACAAGCTGTCCAAGTGTCCACAATGGTCAACAGACTCCCCTCCATTTTGGAAAATGGGGAGGCGTACCTTTATGCATTGAAAAGGCATGTCTGAGGATTTAGCAGACTGAGTGCCAGACCACCTTGGGGGTGGATGGGGAGCTAAGCTCTGGGTGTCTCAACATGAAGTCCAAGGGAGTGGAGAAACAGAAAGAGCATTCCTTAACAGTCAAAGAGAAAAAAGACTTTGCAGTCGGTCCATCAGGTTTCTTCCACTGAAGATGGGTGCTCTTCTAACCAGTAGCATCCAGGAGAAGGTTGATAAGAGCTGTTCCAAAGATATGCTGTCCCTAGAAAACAATGCTGTCCAGCACTTTAGCCCAAGTGCCCTATGTATATGAACGAGAAGCATATAGGAGAAACAGCAGCAGACTGAAACTTCTCAGGGGTAAGCACATCCATCAGAATCCGAGTCTCTGTGACCAAAGGCTTGGGAGCCCCTCAGGTCATGGGCTTTTGGTCTCTGCAATGATGGTCAGCACATAAAGGTGAAATGGGTCATAAAGTACAGCATTACCATGGCAAAAAAAAACCTCAGCCAAAAAGGGAGAGCAAAATCCAACAGAACTAAAGAGGACTCTGAGGACAAGACAAACCCTAAGACTAGTGGATGACATGATTCCAGGCGGCAGACATCAGCACTATCAGTGGGTGCGATGCAAGCAGCCCTAGGGCTGTTAGTAGAGAGAGGGGGCACCCGGTACACCAGGACTGTCGCTACATGACTGGAATCAGACATGTTGCAACATCTCAGGTACACACAAGACCAGGATAGGGCTGGCTGGGAAGCAGGAACTGATAGAGGTTCCATGTGGCTTTTTGCAAGCAGAAGCAGCAGCGGGGAGATGCTTCCTCTACATCGTCTATCGAGAAAGAAAGCAAGTAGTGCACTCTATGCCCACCAAAGACATCAGCCCTCTGCATTAATCCCTGCTGTGGCAAAAACTGTCAGGAACAGGGAATTATGGCATCCCATGACCTAGGAAAATGACGTAGCTCCTGATGCTCAATCTTATTGGCCTACACATTAAGTGAGACTTCAGTGACAAGGCACATGTAGAGACATAGCCAGCAGGTCTGGACTTGGAAAGTGCTCCTTAGCTAACTTTTACCACAACGGAGGCTGGAAAGTGCCCCACCGCCTGCTTCCTGGCTGTTCTCACAAAGCCCAGTCCAGCAGGGTTCAAAGGCTGTACTCAATAAGCCAAGCGGGGGAGCTGCAATTGAAACAAGACTACAGCAGACATGTAGAGAACACTCTCAAATGGAAAAAAAAGTTGATTTAGAAAAATGGTGCCAACAAAAATTAACTTAGTCTTTAACACAACAGAGCTAAGGAAAAGAAGTCCATCCTCCTAGGACACTAGTAGTAGGAGGGGTTATCCTGGGCTGGCTTAAAGTGTTTTCCTCTAAGCAGCAGTATAACCTAAAGGTTTAGGACTTCCTATGTCCCTCAATAGACAAAAAATAAAAATCCTTCGGTTGTATCGTTTTAAAGGTAATACAGAACCGTTCTGTCTACAAGAAGATT